CCCCCGGGAGCACAGAAAGGACAGGTCGCGAACCGCCAGCGCGGCTCAGTCCCTCCCGGGTGGGAGAGGTCCCCGCTCAGCGGCTCGTCCCGCCCTCGCCCCGCGGAGCCCGCCCCCGGGAGGAGCCAGCGACCGAGCCCCGCCCCGAGCGCCGTGGCCGCCACCCGCCGGCGCGCAGGTCCCGGGAGGAAGGCCAGGGCCCCAGGGCTGGACGGAGAATCGCTCAGCCCAGGCGTGGGGCTTCGGGCTTCCTGCCCAAACGAGTTCAGGCTGCACCCTCTTCGGCTTTGCTCCCGATTACTTTCTGTTACGGATTGGTTTTCCGTCCTGCAGTCGGTGCACGGAGTTTTCAGACTTTTCAAAGAGGTTTATGAACCAAGGTTCATGGAAAAAACATCTGGGAAACGGCAGTACCAGTGTGCCCAGAGCTGCCTTTGAGCTACAGAACAGCCGCTCCAAAGACAGCTGTAACAGGAGTGCAAAAGATGCCATCACACGGGGGCCCAGTCCCAGAGGTGGAGGGGGCGGTACCTGTCAAACTGTCAACTCCATTCCTATTCTGCTGGCTCATCTGTGGAGTAAACTTTGCCTCACACGGTGTGCTGTGAAGTTCTCGCACTCCATCTGCGAACCCTTTTTCAAACGTGATCCTAATCAAAAACCGTACGATTCAAATGTGTAAATGCCGAAACAAACACAGGTGCTCAAGGAGCATTTAGACAGATGTGTGGAAATCTGGACGTCAAAAGGCCCTTAAGACTAGCTTTCGAATATACGTCTAAAAACAGTCATATGGATTTCATTTCTGCCCTAGCTAATAAAGAAAACATTAAAAGGCCCATTCACTCTAGGTATTTTGTTTTTGTTTATTTAAACCTGAACTGCCCCGATGTAGAAATCAAAGATGTGGCAATTCTTCACTACAAAACGTATTGAATAAGATAAAAATTAAATTTCGAGACCTGAAGGTGGTGAAGCTGCAGTGCTCTGTGACCCACGCGGGGAGCCTGGAGTTGGCGACTAGAGACCTTCCTGGAAACCTTGAGCATGTCTGGCGGGCTGTGCTGGCAGGTGGGGACACAGAAGGCTGAGTTGTCGGGGAGGACCCTGCTGCCGGGGTGCTGTCCTCTATCTCTCTGTCTCTCTTGCTCTCAGGAGAAAGAAATAAACCAAACAAAAGAAGGAAGGGACGAAAAGAGAGAGGAAGGAAGTGATTGTACATTCAAGGCAATCTGATCCCAGTTGGAGGTGGGGACTAGAGGGCTGTGGAATAAAACCCCTTCTGGCTCCCAACTGTTGGGGAAGGAGAAGGTGGTTTATGAGTAGACTGCACATCTGTAAGTCCCAAGTCACGAGCACCAGCTGATGGCTTTTGAACCTCCCTGCCATCCCACAGCTGCATCCTAGAGTCACTCCAGCTCCTGCTAACTCCAGCAGAGCCCAAGGCACTCACTGACTTACTCTGACCGGACTAAACCCTCGGCGTTAAATCTGTTCAGCTGATTTCATTCTAGATTATTCTCCCAGATTCACCCTTTTTTCCTCCCTCATGTGTAAATCGTTCCTCCTTTTCAATGAGTCCGAGAAAAATAAAAAAAGCTTATGATAGTATGCTACAATAGAGTAAGACAAGTTCCTGGTTCTAGCTTTTTCATTGTAGGGGAG